GCCTGGGGCGAACATCGTCAGTGGCATGTGGATTTTCAGGGTGAAGCGGCCGTCGGGTTCTCCGCCTGTCTTCAAGGCGCGTTACGTGGCTCGTGGCTTCAGTCAGCGGCAGGGAGTTGACTACTTTCAGACCTTCTCTCCCACCCCGAAGATGACCACTCTTCGGGTACTGCTGCACATAGCCGCTCACCGAGACTACGAGCTGCACTCTCTTGACTTCAGCACTGCTTTCTTGCAGGGCAGCCTGCACGAGGAGATCTGGCTGCGCCGCCCACCTGGCTTCACTGGGAATTTTCCTCCTGGCACCCAGTGGAGCCTCCGGCGGCCAGTCTACGGTCTCCGCCAGGCACCTCGTGAGTGGCACGACACACTGAGGACTACACTTGCGGCTCTTGGGTTTGCTCCTTCTACTGCCGACCCGTCGCTGTTTCTGCGCACCGACACTTCTTTGCCGCCGTTCTACATCCTCGTATACGTCGACGACTTGGTCTTTGCTACAGCTGACACTGCTGGACTCGCCTACGTGAAGTCCGAGCTGCAGAAGAGACACACGTGCACAGACCTGGGTGAACTGCGCAGCTACCTTGGCTTGCAGATTACCCGGGACAGAGCACAGCGCACCATTACCCTGACTCAGTCACACATGGTGCAGCAGGTCCTTCAGCGCTTCGGCTTCACGTACTCCTCGCCTCAGGCCACTCCTCTGTCTACACGCCACTCGCTCTCAGCTCTGCCTTCGGCAGCAGCTACAGTCAACCTTGAAGCAACGAAGCCGAGGCTACCGGAGGCTTTCGATCCTAGCGCAAAAGGGAGCGACGTCCGTCGATTTGTAGATTTACTCGAAAATCACGAGGTCGTTGGATGCATGAACCCGACCCAAGACGTAATGCGCATACGGCTTGCAACAACACTATTACGAGGCCCAGCTCTACAGAGGATTTACACAAACAACAAAATTGTCCAATGTGAAAGAACGTGGGTGCAGTTTCGGGCAGCACTGATTGAATAGTTCGACGCATTGAACAATAGCTACTGCGGAACACAACGCAACCAGCAAAATAGGAATTCTAGCATGGAGCGATCGGCACCACCCACGAGTGTCGACCCGATGGAGATCGACAAGGACGATGCGAAACAACGGCTAGCAAAAAATGAGACGTGCGAATTTTGCGGCGGTACAGGACATCATATCTTGGCGTGTTGGAAATTGAGGACAGGACGTACGGAGGTGAAGGGCAGGAATAGTGCGGCACCCCCGTAGCGAAAAGCGGACAACGTTGCGACTTAGGAGAGGGTTAAAAAGGGAAGAAAATGATGGCGCGGATTTAAAACGTCACAACCGGTCGGCACCATAGGAAATCGCCGAGACAAATGGAGAATCTGCGAAACAAGACTCTGCATCGACCGACGTACACCCCGTTAAGTAAGACTCATAAAAGTTATCCTATAAAGATACTTTAAGTAAGAATAGTTTTTCTCCTGGTGTTTAAGCATTTGAAAAAATCAAGAGAGAGTTAGAAATTTTTCGGGTACTTGAAAATTTGGGGACCCAACTTCAGAGCGTTCATATATTCTCTTCTAGCAGCACGGTGTTAAGGCTCCACGTTTCCCACAGGAGAAGCCTACACAGCTGCAAAGGCTTAGGGGAAGGTTCCAGGCCTAAGAGAAGTTGAACCGGCCTCGGATAAATCCTTCTAACCCTACCCAGGTGAAAACTGATATTGAAGCTGCAGCTTCGAGCACAAGAACTAGGGATGATACATTTGATGTACCTTATGATCCAGTAAGCAATACCATCTACAGCTACTCGGAGCGTCAACGACCACTACTACTTGAGGTGCTCTTGCAAAAGGCGACGCCTCCAGGCACTGGTGGACAGTGGTGCGTCCCACTCGGTGTGCGAACACGGGACGTTGGAGAAGATTGGAGAGTCTACGGGGGAGATTTTAAAAGCAACGATGGTGGACGGTACGAAGCTTCCCATCCACTGCGAGTCAACCCTACAGCTGCACGTAGGTGCATTGAGATGGAAGCCGACGTTGCCAATCACGAACATCAAGGGATTAGATTTCATCTAGGGGTGTGATTTTCTGAAGCAGTTCACCCCCAAAATAGATTGGTTTAACTGGAAGGCGAGCATCTACGACAATGAGAAACGCATGGAGCTGCGAAGCTGGACGGATACTAGGGATGTTCCTGAAACGACACTTGCACGGTTCGAACGGACAGTGAATATGAGTAACACTGGTCACCTAGCACTGGTGATGGTAGCAGAAGAAGAGGAGAAGCCGAATTCGGAGCTACCTACAGCAGTACAGGAGGTGTTAGAAGAGTACAAGGACATCATGTGGGATGACCTGCCTGCAGGAGTGCCTCCAGCGCGAACCCACGAGCACGAGATCGTTGTGGAACCAGGTGCGAAACCCGTCTCCCGTGCACCATACCGCCTTAGTCCGACCGAACTGACAGACATGAAGAAACAGATTGAATACTTACTCGACAGAAAACTGATCCGCTTATCCACCTCTCCCTACAGTGCACCGGTTTCTTTCACTCTAAAGCCAGACAGTAGTTTGACGACGTGCATCGACTACCAGGCACTAAACAAATAGACGGTCAAGGACAAATACCCCATGTCGCGCATAGATTGTTTTCGAGACCAACTATGTAAGAGTACGTCGACGTTCGACATATTTATAATTTCCATATTTTTACTCTATCTTATTCTTCTTATTTTCCTCTTTCATTTGCACTTTATTTCACCTCAATCGGACTACTATTCTATTTTCTAGAGCTTTCCGATTATTTCACTTATTTGTATTTTCGGCACCGACAATTACATTATACGGCACCGACAGCACCGACAGTGGTGTACAAGGCGTAATCTCGCCATAATCCAATGTGCCAATGGGCTTGCGTGCTTATGCGCACTAGTGATTATCTATCCTAGAAGAGCGCGTTCCCGAAGGTTCGGATTATCGCTTGTTTCTATGTATTTCTGAGTATAAATACGCCTTGTACTCACCTATAGTGCAACATTCTCGAGTGGAAATTCGATCCTGTGACACTTGGTATTCAGAGCCGTTTTCACTCGCGGAGTTTCAGCTAAGCGCGCGACAGAAAATTCCCTGCTTCGAAAAACTGCCGGGGGCGAAGAATTCGGCGCCGACGCTGGTAAGCACCAGATTCCGCGTTTTTTGAATGACCCCCTCGCGCGTTTTTTGAACAGGTCCGAAAGTTCGGTTTTCTGGCGACGAGTTGGCGATATAGCGACGACAATCGCGAATTGTCGGGACCTATATCGAGCGGTGCAGAAGCAGCAAGACCGACGCGCGACGGATCTAACGACTTCGGATGAATTCGCGCGTCATGGCGAAAATTGCGACAGAAACAGAATCGATCGTGACTTCGCAGCAGTCGCGAAATTTTCCCAAGGCCCAAAAAATTCGAGCCCCCAACAGGGGGAAATTGACGAGCGGAGGTGGTTGGCGGAAATCGAAATATATTTCGTAGCCGTCGGTTGGACATCCCCGACATACGACGGTTCGCGAATTAAATTTGCAGCAACACTACTGCGCGGACCAGTAATTGATTGGATAAGCGGAAGCGGATTATTAAACCAAGGCGAAGCGACGTGGCAGCAGTTCCGAGAAGGATTACTACAACGTTTCGAGCCGATAAATGCAGCGTTTATCGCCCGCGACAAAATACATCGTCATCGGCAAATTGGGAGTGTCGCGAACTACACGCAACAAATGGAGGAGTTGTTCAACCGCATCCCCGACGTCACCGAAGGCGAAAAAATTAGAGCATTCATCGCGGGGCTGAAAAATGAAATACGACAACACGTTGCGGCCGCAAATTGGAGCAGCTACAACGACGTTGTCTCGGCAGCAGAACGTTTCGACGTAATCACGATCGGAACACGACGACTTCATGGACGAGCTAGACGACATGGAGGACGCTTGGCTACCCCCACGTACGCCGACCCGATGGAACTCGATCGAATCGACGCGAAGGCAAGACCAAAGAAGAACAAAGCTAAGTGTTCTTTCTGCGGCAAGCCGGGACATCGATTCATCGATTGTAACAAAATGAAAACCGCACGTGCAGCGCTTCAGGACCGCAGTAGTGGAGCAGATTCAATGCGAAAATTGGAGGATCGTGGAGTGAATTCTTCAACCCACGAACGGACTCTACCAGGGAAAAACGCCGAGAAAAATAAAATCTCCGCGAAACAAGACCCTGCTGAACCCGAACAACTCCAAAAAGGCCCTGTAAAAAGTAAGCACTCCTTAGAAATATCATACAAGGATGCCTTACTTGGGAAAAACTCCCCTGGGTCTACGGCCTTGGTGAAACCACGAGAGAGGCTCCAGAAGAAAAATAATGTACCGGTACGACAACTACAGCAGCTGCGCAGGGGGAACCAGCAACGGAGCGTGGAAGCACGACCTTCCAACGACGACATCGTCCTCTCTCAGAACAACCAGCCCACATCGACCAACCGGTCCCCACGGAAGAAGTCGGTGGCGCTGAAGCAGCTCAAGAGGGAGCTAGAGGTCAACAAGAAGCTGCGACGACCTCAAACCTCCTCTACAGATGCATCTGAAACATTTGCAACATCTACCCTACGAGGGAATTCTACTACGAGCTCGAGAACCACGTCGTCGACGACAACAAAAAATCGTGGCAACATGGAAAGGCAGGACCGGCAACCTGCCACCCAAGAAGATACCACGGAGCTATGGGATGTGCCCTACGATCCAATCAACGAGACGATCAATGGGAATAGCAAGCAACGCCAACCACTTCTGCTCGAGGTGATCTGCAATGGACGACGCCTCCAAGCACTCGTGGACAGCGGAGCATCCCATTCAGTATGTGACAAAGCAACCCTCGAACGCATTAATGAGGAGTGCACGCCTTCAAGCTTTACAGCTACGATGGTTGACAGAAGCAAATTACAAGTCTACGGCGAAGTAGCGTTACACCTACAGATGGGTCCTCTTCGCTGGAAACCGACCCTACCCGTCACCAACATCAAAGGGCTAGACTTGATTCTTGGGAGAGACTTCCTGAAGAAGTTCAACCCCGAGATCAACTGGGTCACCCGCACGGCGAGCATCTACAATCAAGACAGAAGAGTTCCACTTCCGAGTTGGAGCAACACGGGAGATATTCCGGAGGAGACTCTCGCACGCTTTGAGAAGGACGTGAAAAGAACCATGGCAGGGTTCGTCGCACTGGTTACAGACGAGGATGAAGCAGAGAAGAAAGCACCTGAGCTTCCACGTGCTATCGAGAAACTTCTGGAGGAGTTCAAAGACGTTCTTCCTGACGACCTTCCAGACCAGTTGCCGCCATACCGAACCCACCAGCACGAGATCGTCGAAGAACCTGGTTCGAAACCGACCTTCCGAGCACCATATCGACTCAGTCCTACCGAATTGGCTGACATGAAGAAGCAGATCGAGTACCTCCTGGACAAGGGACTCATTCGACCATCAACATCACCATACGGTGCACCAGTGCTCTTCACGCCAAAACCTGACGGAAGCTTACGCATGTGCATCGACTACCGAGCCCTCAACAAGCAGACGATCAAGAACAAGTATCCGATTCCACGGATCGACGATCTACTTGACCAGCTTCGTGGAGCCACAGTATTCTCAAAACTCGATTTGAGATCGGGATATTGGCAGATCCGGATGGCGGATAACTCCATCCATAAGACGGCGTTTCGGACACGATACGGATCCTACGAGTACCTCGTCATGCTGTTCTGTCTCACTAACGCACCCGCTACATTTCAGGCTGAAATGAACCATATTCTTAGGCCTCTACTTGACGAATGCGTGGTGGTGTACCTGGACGACATCTTGATCTACTCGAGGGACATGAAGCAGCATATTGAACACCTACGACGCGTTTTCGAAATACTTCGACGAGAGAAGTTCTACGTCAAGCTGTCAAAGAGTGAGTTTGCCTTGAAACAAGTTCAATTTCTTGGACATATGGTGAGCGCTCAAGGAGTGCATGTCGACCCGAAGAAGATCGAAGCCGTACGTACGTGGAAGTCGCCGGAGAATGTGAAAGAACTTCAACAATTCCTTGGCTTCGCGAACTACTACAATCGGTTCGTGCCACAGTATGCGAAGATTGCAACACCTCTCACCAATCTATTGAAGAAGAATACACCGTTCAAGTGGGAGGATGTGCACCAGCAAGCCATGGAGCAGTTCAAGACTGCACTCACGTCCGCACCTGTCCTGATCCTGCCAGATCCAGAAAAAGACTACGTCATCGAAGCTGACGCTAGCGACCAAGCAGTTGGAGCAGTCTTGATGCAAGACCAAGGGAAAGGACTGCAACCAATCGCTTACCTCAGCAAAAAATTGCACGGGGCAGAACTCAACTACCCGATTCACGACAAAGAGGCCTTAGCGATCATCACCGCATTCAAGACATGGCGATGCTACCTCGAAGGAAGAAAGACCACGGTCTACACTGACCATTGCAGCCTGAAGTACCTAAAAACGCAGCCGACCCTCTCCAGGCGACAGGTCAGGTGGATCGACTTCCTCGAGACACACTTCGACTACGACATCGTGTACAAGCCGGGACACAAGAATAAGGCAGACGCACTGAGCCGGCCTGGACACGTTGCCGCCATACAGGTTGAGGGGATGAATCCGCTACTTAAGGGACTCTTTACGCACGGGTACACTATCGACCCCGAGATTCCCTTGGCAGAGAAGAAGAAATTGCTGCAGTGGGACCACGACATCGCACTACGCAAAGGATCAACAAAGATATGGGTACCCAATTACCCACCTCTTCGGCAGTTGCTTCTCGAGGAGTTCCACGATGTGCTCTACGCTGGACAATTCGGGAGTAACAAGACCCTTGCTGGGATTGCGAAAGTCTACTACTGGCCTCACATGGCAGACGACGTGCAGAAGTTCGTCACTTCGTGCGACACGTGCCAACGGATGAAGAGTAGTAAGCAGAAGAAAGCAGGACTTCTTCAGCCTCTGCCCGTCCCGGAACAGCCTTGGCAAGTGGTCAGCTTGGACTTCATCACTGGATTACCACCTACCATAGCGGGGCATGACGCCATCCTGGTCGTCATCGACAAATTCTCAAAGATGGGACACTTCATTCCGACACATACAACCGCACGCACGGAGGAAACGGCACAGCTATTCCTCAAACACATAATCTCACAGCACGGGATCCCAACAACGCTCATATCCGACAGGGACCCCAAGTTCACTAGCAAGTTCTGGAAAGAGCTCATGTCGCTCATGGGGACATGCCTAGCGATGTCATCTGCATATCATCCCCAGACCGATGGGCAGACAGAGCGCTTGAACCAAATTGTGGAACAACTCTTGCGCGCAGCGTGCAAGGACGACATTAACAAGTGGGACTTGCACTTGCCGGTGTTGGAGTTCGCCTACAATAATGCAAAGCATGCCGCAACAGGAGAGACCCCATTCTTCCTCTGTTACGGTCGACTTTTGCTAACTCCTCAACAGCCGACAGTACCTGCAACTGTCCAACCCGCGCACGACTTCGTTACCACAATGCAGCAGCTTTGGGATCGGACACACAAGCGTCTACAGGACATACAGTCTTCACAGAAACGCTTGGCCGATCGCCATCGACGTGATCATACCATTGCGGTTGGTGACCATGTGCTTCTCGACACATGCAACCTCAACCTCGGTCACCTTCCATCCAAGTTACGACCTCGCTTCTGCGGACCTTTACTCATAGAAGAGCAGGTCACTCCAGTCACATTCCGCTTGCGCCTACCAGCTAGTTGGAAGATTCATAACGCCTTCCACGTGCAGCTTCTTAAACCTTATCGAGATCCAAATAAGCTGTACACGGGACGCCAACCTCCGCCGCCGCCTCCAGTCCTCGTGAATGATGAACTTGAGTACGAGGTCGAATCCGTGCTTGCACATCGTCGTCGTCGGCATGGCGCCCTGGAGTTTCTCATACGCTGGAAGGGCTATGATCCTTCCGAGGACAGCTGGGTCTCTGAAGAAGACATGAGTAACGCCCGACGTTCTCTTCGCGACTATCTTGTCAAGCAGGGTGTTACGTCTACCACCCAGCTTTGAGGGGGGGAAGTGTAAGAGTACGTCGACGTTCGACATATTTCTCATTTCCATATTTTTACTCTATCTTATTCTTCTTATTTTCCTCTTTCATTTGCACTTTATTTCACCTCAATCGGACTACTATTCTATTTTCTAGAGCTTTCCGATTATTTCACATATTTGCATTTTCGGCACCGACAATTACATTATACGGCACCGACAGCACCGACAGTGGTGTACAAGGCGTAATCTCGCCATAATCCAATGTGCCAATGGGCTTGCGTGCTTATGCGCACTAGTGATTATCTATCCTAGAAGAGCGCGTTCCCGAAGGTTCGGATTATCGCTTGTTTCTATGTATTTCTGAGTATAAATACGCCTTGTACTCACCTATAGTGCAACATTCTCGAGTGGAAATTCGATCCTGTAACAAACTACGTGGCGCAGCTCACCCAGATCTGTGCACGTGTGTCACTTCTGCAGCTCCGACTTCACAAGAGCAAGTGCCTCAGTGTCAGCAGTGGCAAAGATCAAGTCGTCGACGTACACGAGGATGTAGAACGGCGGCAGGGAAGTGTCGGTGCGTAGAAACAGCGACGGGTCAGTAGTGGAAGGAGCAAACCCAAGAGCCGCAAGCGTCATCCTCAGTGTGTCGTGCCACTCGCGAGGCGCCTGGCGGAGACCGTAGACTGGCCGCCGGAGGCTCCACTGGGTACCAGGAGGGAACGACCCAGTGAAGCCAGGTGGGCGGCGCAGCCAAATCTCCTCGTGCAGGCTGCCCTGCAAGAAAGCTGTGCTGAAGTCAAAAGAGTGAAGCTCGTAGTCACGCTGAGCGGCAACGTGCAGCAGCACCCGAAGAGTGGTCATCTTCGGAGTAGGGGAGAAGGTCTGGAAGAAGTCAACTCCCTGTCGCTGACTGGAGCATGGAGCAACGTAACGAGCCTTGAAGACAGGCGGAGAACCCGGCGGCCGCTTCACCCTGAAAATCCACATGCCATCGACTATGTTCGCCCCAGGAGGGGAACTGCGTCGACATAGGTGCCTGTGGACTTCCAGGATGCCATCTCTACGTCCATGGCTGTCTGCCACTGAGAGGAGTAGGGACCCGTAATCGCCTCTGTGTAAGAGCGCGGGGTCGGGATGTCCAGTGCATCCGGGTCTCCCTCAGGTGCAAGCAGCCAGGCCACGAGATCAGGTACAGCAGCCGCATGACATTCAAGGTCCTCCTGCCTGTCCTCAAGGACGTCCGTGCCAAGAGCACACTCACCCTTGACTGACGGAGGACAGACAGACTCAGACTCAGCGACAAGACTGACAGTGTAGTCTAGACGACACGCGGCAACAAAGTCCATAAGCTCAGCAACTAAGGCAGACGCAGCAGTGGACTCAAACAACGGGCCAGTGACAACAGTGGCCAAGGGACGCGTGACAGTAGGGTGAGCAGCACGAACAGCGTCAGACTCAGGGTCCTGAACGACAGGAAGAGAAGACGCAGGAGGAGACGGCAGGGGGACACGCTGCGGAACAGAGGAAGGACGAAGAGCCATGGTGTGAGTACCAGGCACAGGAGGAGGACGCGGACGCGGGACTCGACGAGCACGGCGAACAGTGCGAACAGGGGAGGCAGGACGAGACGCAGGCTCACGACGCTCTGTTAGGGACTCTGGCTGCTCTGTGTAAGGAAGGGGAGCAAGCCGCGGTGCGTCTGGACGAAGGACCGTGGATGAAGGAAGACTAAGAACCTGACGGAGCACCGACTCTGGCGGTAGTGAGGACAGCTGCGGCGGCGGCAAGAAAAACGGTCGCTGTTGCACAGCACCTCCAGCCCGAGTACCTCCAGCGCCAGTGCCTCCAGCTCCAGCGTCTCCAGCTCCAGCGCCTCCAGCTCCAACGCCTCCAGCTCCAGCGCCTCCAGCTCCAGCGTCTCCAGCTCCAGCGCCTCCAGCGCCAGTGCCTCCAGCTCCAGCGCCTCTAGCTCCAGCGCCTCCAGCTCCAGTGTCTCCAGCTCCAGCGTCTCCAGCTCCAGCGCCTCCAGCTCCAGCGTCTCCAGCGCCAGCGGCTCCAGCGCCTCCAGCTCTAGCGTCTCCAGCTCCAGTAGCGCTGCGCCGAATGCGGGTGCGCTGAGCAAACCACTCGCGCAGCTGCTGTGGTGAGAGGGACGCGCGCTGAGGAGACCGCTGCGGTGAGCCGCTAGGCTGACCTCCAGGCGAAGTAGCACCATTAGGCTCCGCAAGCGCAGGCTCAGCACCCCGAGGCTCCGCACCCCCTGGCACAGCACCCTCAGGCTCAGCACCCCCAGACACAGCACCCCCAGGCTCAGCACCTCCAGACGCAGCACCCCCAGGCTCAGCACCCCCAGACTCGGCACCCCCAGGCTCAGCACCCCCAGTCGCAGCACCCCCAGGCTCAGCACCCCCAGTCGCAGCACCCCCAGGCTCAGCACCCCCAGTCGCAGCACCCCCAGGCTCAGCACCCCGAGCAGGACCACCTCTAGCAGTATCTGAATCACCAGAAATCTCGACAGGCACAGCCAGGGGAGGCAGGTCTACCTGAGAGACACCTGAAGGAGCAGGACCCTGAGGGGTGAGGGGGTCTATTGGAGGGGGACCTGGAGCGAGGAAGAGCGGAGGGGGGTGAAGAGGGGCAGTGCGGTAGGGGAAGAGACGGTAGAAGGGAACCGACTCGTCAAAGGTGACGTCCTGGGACGCGAAGACACGGCGCGAGGTGGGGTGGTAAAACTGCCAACCAGGCGCGTCAGGGACAAAGCCAAGGAAGACGCAGGGAATGGCGCGAGAGGAGAGCTTGTCCGCGGTGGTATCGCGGACAAAAGCACGGGAGCCCCAGACCCGGAAACGCGACGCATCGCCAACCTCTCCCGTCCAGCGCAGGGTGGGCGAGGTCTCAGGCAAGGAGACACGGGGCCAGAGGTTGAGCTGATGCGCAGCGTACCGGACCGCAAACGGCCACAGAAAATGGGGAGCAGCCGCATGGATCATGGAGGTACGAGCGACCTCCATGACTAGGCCAATGCGGCGCTCAGCAATCCCATTCTTCTGCGGGGAGGCGTGAACGACTGGTGAATGCCCTCATCCTCACAGAAGGACTGCAAGAGGCCAGAGGAGAACTCACCACCCCTGTCAGAGTGCAGACGCAGGACGGGAAGGTCCGTGCGGAACCGCTCGCGGAGCTGGAGACGAACAGTGCGGATCCAAGGGATCAAAACAGCAGGGACATCACTCTTGCAGCGCAAGGGGAAGACCGTGGTGTAGCGCGAGTAGTCGTCAACAACCAGCAAAAAGTACCGCTCGCGACCCTGTCCCTGGACGCGGGCTGGGCCCCACACGTCCATGTGGAGAGTCTGCAGAGGAGCTGTCGTCGGGGGAAACGAGGAGGAGTGAGGAGCGGCGCGCTGCCGCCCCTCGACGCAAGGAATGCAGGGCGGCGCAGGCGAGGGTGGGAGAGGGGGCAGAGGGAAGACCAGAGACCAGGAGACGAGAGTGCATGCCACGAAGGCGAGGCAGGGAGGGGTGACCAAGGCGGTGGTGCCAAAGGAGAGTCTGGTGCGACAGGTGACGACACTCACAAGTGGGAGCTACCTGACCCGACGCGGCCACCTGACCAGACGCAGCAACCTGAGGAGGTGCAGTAGTCAGTGTGTACAGACTCGACCCAGGCCGACGGGTGAACGTGGCCAGGTGGCGGCCCGTTCGGGAGCACGTGCAAATCGCCACACGCTGCCATCCAGGAGTAAAGGTGTCAACCCCTGCATCCTGGAGGGCGGCGTTGCTCACCAAGTTCGTCGAGAATGAGGGGAGGTGGAGACCTGACAGCGAGCCGGACGGAACCGCCGGACACGGGAGCACAGTGGAGGAACGTGCAAGAACCGGACCCCCAGAGGGGTCAGCCAGGGAGACCGCAATCGGTCTAGGCAGCGGTGTGAGTGCAGTACTGTCACGAAAGAAACAGCGGGAAGCACCTGAGTCAAGCGTGAAGGTGTGCAAAGCCTCAGCTGGCGCATTACATGAGAGAGCAGAATCACTAGCACTTAGAGCAGTAGTCTCTATACCTGGGTCAGGCGGCACACACAAGTAACAGTCACCCTCAGCACTAACAGACAATGCATACATGGCAGTAAGGATAGCATCATAGTCAAGAGCAAAGATATCAACCCCAGACCTAAGCAGCTCCGCCCAGCGGGGGATCTCATCGTCCTCGCCAAACTCAGTGCGCCAGGCGTCCTCTAGGCGGGAGAAACAGCGGTGCTGGGTGTGAAACTTCCCGCACGTCTGCCCAGCGCAGTCACCTGTGCGAATAAAGTACTGGCAGCGGCCACCAACCCCAGAAGCCCCACGCTGAGCATACCACTCACAAGCTTGCTGGGGTGTGAGCCTCTCACGCGGACGCTGCTGCAGCTGCTGGCGCTGACCTGCTCCAGCCCGACCACCACCGCTGCCACCGCCGCTGCTGCCACCACCGCTACCCCCGCCGCCGCCACCGCTGCCACCACCACCCCCACTGCCGCCCCGACCACCACCACCGCCACCGCCGCTGCCGCTGCCACCGCCGTAACCGCCTCCACCCCCACCACCATTCTCGCCACCACTGCCACCTCCACCACCTCCACCTCCTCCACCTCCTCCACCACCACCTCCTCCACCACCACCCCCACCACCCTTGCCTCCCTTGCCCTTGCCGCTGCGGCGCTTCGCACTAGGAGCAGAAGCGGCACCGACCTCCTCAGCACCAAGGAAGTCGACAGCAGCAGCAGAAGCAACAGAGGGGGCAAGGGGGGAGGGGGAACACCCCTCAAAGAAGGGAGTGCGAGGGGTGCCTCGAGTAGCACCTACAGTGACCGCACTAGTCTCAGCTGCAAGGAGTTGCTTCTCGAGGAGGTCAATGGTGAGCTCAGTAGGGTGAAGCGCGAGAAAGTGGTCCCTTACTGCGCGAAGAGAGTCAGGGTGGCGAGTGACAATGAAGTAGAGAGTGAGGTAGATAGGGGGCTCGTTCTTGGGGAGGAACTC